TAGGGGCTGATCCTGCCTCAGGCAGGAGCCTGGACTAGGTGACTCTGTGGTCCCTTCCAGCCCGACTTTGCTGCGTGATCCTATTCCTGCGATGGGACCTGAGTGTCTGCTCCTCGTGCGAGCAAGCAGGTAGAGTGGTTGAGTGCTGGTTAAAATATACTTGACTTCTGGTCGGTAAGACCCACATGGAGGGAAGGATTGTATCACGCTAGCCCGGGATTCTTCGGTATGTGGAGAGCCGAGTGTTAAACCACGGGATGTCAGGGGTTGACTACAGCAGTGGCCTCCAAACTTTTTTGATCGTGCACCCCTATCAGTAAAAAATTTTTGAGCACGCACCCCATATATATAAAATATAAAATGTATTTATTTATAAATTATATACATGTCCTACTGTACTAATATTTTATGTACATTATAAAACATGCACAAAAATAGAAATTAAAGGATGAGATAAAGATGAAATAAAATAAATATAAATAGAAGTTCTAATATTTTCTTCCCGCATCCCAATGGATCGTCTTGCGCACCCCGCTTTGGAGACCACTGGACTACAGGGCCCTAGGACTCTACTAATGGGGGTGCAACACCAGTGCTTGCCCGGGGGAGCGTGCTCGTTTGAAACTGGTTTGAGGCAATGATTTTTTTCAAACATAAACTTCCATGCTGGTTCTGCAAAAAACGGTTAGACAAGGTTACAGCGGTGGGCGTGGGTGGATGCATGTGAAAGAGGGTTTTCATTCCAAAGTTCCTGACCGGTTAGTGAGGACACTGCTGTATTCACGCAAGTTCAGACTTTAAAATCTGGGTCCCGGCCTGGAAAGTGAGAAGCTTTTGAGGTTCTGTGGTCTCGCAGCTGCCCTCGGCGTCGACTTGAACGCGCCACCCTGAGCGAAATCCCCAAGGCGGGCTTCAGAAGGAGCTGCCAAAGCAAAAGCTCATGCCCTTGCTTGTAATAATTTCCAGCTCCCATGCAGCCGTCCCTTTCCCAGCGCACCGGTTGCGGCTCCTTGGCGCGGTCCCCAGCTCCTGACTCAAAGCAGGCGTGTTTGGGAGAACACCCCAGCGGAAAGCAGCCCTGCACCTCGCTCTGCAGCAGAAGAGGGAGCGGCGGTGAGCAATCGCCTTGCCTGGAGGACTCCCGCGGCAGCTCTGCGGGCACCAATACCAAGCCCCTTCGCACACCGCCTTCTCGCCGCTGCCCGCTGATTCAAAAGGGAATTGTGCTGAAACCGAACGTGCCCGTGAGTCTGGATTCTTGCCTTGGCTGGCCTGAGAAGTACTCGCCCTACCTAGTGTGAACAACCGCTGAGCAACGCGGCTGCTCAAAATACATGTCACTCTTAACACACGGCCGTGTCGCTGACCCACCCTCTAATTAAGACAGAAGAACGAATGCCGTACCGGGTTGCATCATAGCCGACTCCTTGCATGCCTGGCTCCACATGCTTATTATTGACAGCAAGAGGAAGAGCAGCGCAGGTGATCGCGGCACCTTGCAAAACTTGCTGGATGTGGTTGTGGCTCGGTAGCGCCTGCAGTCTGACCCCGTCCCTCCCTCCCCGTCGTCCACGTGCATCGCGTGGCAGATAAACGAGGCATGAGGAAGGGACCTGTCTTCGTGACACATTCCCTGGGTGGGCAGAGTGTTTCAGCAAGAGCCGGATAATGTAATAATGCAACGCAGAGAGGAGTTTTATCCTGCCAGGCCAAAGGGACAAGCAGCTCCAAGTCAAGTCGGTCCCGAGCCTGCACCGACCGTTGGGGCACCTTTTGCTGTAGCAATAACTTTCTCCCCTTCTTCCCAGCCTCTTTCAATCTTTGTACAATCGGTCCCTTTTTAATCTCATCCTGGCTTTGATGTTGGTGGTCCAACTTGTCCTCTTCCTTGTCCATCCACAGCATCCTGCAGGACGGTGTTGGCCTTGTTACGTGTCCAAACCACTGCATCCTGCTCCTGAGCCAGCTCAAAGTAGCCTAAACCAAATCTTCCTGACGTCGATGGGAATTGCATCCACTTGTCCTAGGCCGGAGTCGGACCTGAGAGATTTGATCCGACAGCCAGCAGCGAATCTTAGGAGAGTTAGATTTTGCTTCAGTGAGTGAAGCTTTTCAGCCTTATGCTGCCTTTACTTGTCTTTCTGGCTCCTGGCTGGTTAGCAGGGAGATGGCGTCTTCCTCTGGGATTTCTGCTTGTCACCTTGCTCGTCCGGCCCCTGCTTCCAGTCCTCCAAAGGTCGCTGCGGAAGGAAAAGCATGCATCCCTTCCTTGCACTGGAAGCTGCCCTTGCTGAGCTGTGGCCTCGAAGCACTTGATCTGCGGAGCTGGCAGGTGGTTCAGTTTTCTTTTAATAAAGCTTTTATTTTGCTTAGCGCAGCACGTGGAAACCTCAGCTGACGGAGAGCGCGAGTGCCGCATTCCTCCTGGTAGCCCGGGCTGCCGATGTACTTGGACCCGGCCTTCCATAGTGCTCCCGCGGCTCTCCCGGGAGGAGGTGGGCACCAACACAGGCTCAAATGTCCAGATGGCACTTCAGTCCCAAATGCAACCCAGTTTGTCCCTGGCAAGAGTTGTCCCTTGCCCCGGGAGCTTCCGCACGCTCTGCTGAGCAAAGCGAATGCAGCTTTTTCAAATGACGCGCACTCTTCCCACACTTTGCAACGCTGCGGTCTCTAAAAGAAATTGCCTTTCGACTTCCAGGCGGTCCGTCATGGTGTTTGGAGTCTTAAACTCCAGCCTGGTCTCTCTTCCCTCCCCTCCCCGCTTTGTCCCTGTTGCTTTCCAGGTAAAATCGTTACACTGGTGTTTTGCGTGCTCCTTTCATGCAGGTGTCCGATTCTTCCTCTAGTCTTACGTGCTTGCAGTAACCAGCTAAAACTTTGAATTTACCTTTGCTTCTGAAGTAGATGCTAACTTTGACTGAGATCACCTATTTAACTGGTGCTGACTGAATCAGACTTCCTAATGGAGAGGGCCAGTAAAAAAAATTTCCACATCAAAGCTGGATTTCTAGTGAGTCAGGAGAGAGAAATTTCTATAAAGCAGGGAGAAACATGCTGTTTGGCGTGTGTGTTTTTTAAAAATCGGGTTGGCCTACACTTGAGGCCAGGATGTCAGCTTTGCAAATACTTTCCAACTAGTTCAGGCAAGGGAATATTTGAAAATGCATGGATATTTTGACCTCCTTCTTTCCCTTTCCAATCCCTGCCACCCCGGCCTGTTGTGGCGTGGACTTCTCTGCAGAATTTCAGCTGTTCTGGCATTTCACATCAGGTTCTTCGCAGAAGTCTGGTTTCTGATCACTCTTCCCCACCGGCATTGCAGCAGTCATTAAAGTTTGCTCTTCTCCCATTGCCTTTTCCTCCACCCCCCACGTCCCTGTAAGAATCCCTTGGATGCTTGTCCTGTTCCTCGTGATTTATTAACATATCTTCTGTTGTCCCGTGTCCGTCCTAAAGCTTGTCCCACTGCTACCTTGCTCCCAGAGGGAGCAGCTGGGGACCTCGATCCTATTGCATCACATTGTAATGGGGGAACTGTGTTGACAACAAGGGGGTGAGACGACGGTCCCTGCCTGCTTAGCCCTTCTTCGAACGTTATGTGACGCGTGGAACCAAGTGTTTGCTGGATGAAGGCCTAGCAAAACGGACCAAATGATGCTTTCCTGTTTTTTTTTTTTTTTTTTTTTTTTTTTTTTTTTTTTTTTTTTTTTCATTCTTCTCATGTCCTTGCTGTTAAAATAATACCCTGACCTTCAGGGTGGCGTCCTTTAGCTGTTCCAGGAAGGCTGTGACCAAACGTATGATGCTCTTCTTTTTTCACATGCTACGGTTTTCCTAGAAAATCCCCTTTTTCAGCTGATTCCTTTCCCACCCTGCGAGGGTGAACATCCTGCGAGTCCCGAGTCCAGGATCATTTCGAAAAAGCCACTGGGGTACATGGCAAGTGTAAGCTGGCTGAGAGGTTCTTTCATGAATCCAGAAAGTCTGCAAACTTCTAGGAAGCTTAATTTACAGTTATCCGGAAAAGAGAAAGTGCTCAAACACACCAGTGCAGAGAGGCCCCGGTGTGCTGGGCTGGGCAGTGCCCTCGAGTACTGTGCTGGGCTCTTTTCTAAGTGCTGAGCCCTATTGTGGGGTCTGTAGCGTGACTTGGGTGCTCTCCCTTCCTGCACACCAGATCTCCTCAGCCTGTAATTTGTGCCCATGAAGCATCTTACTATAAGTCCTTGCTGCTTGTTTGTAAGCTGCCCCTACCCTTGCAGTAAGTTCCCAGAAAGCTGCATGCTCCAGCAGCTTGAGCTTGGGGTCGGGTTGTTCCTTTTATAAGGGGGCTTTTTTGATGCACGGAGTTGGGGAAATATTTCTCCTCCGCCGTGCGCTTCTGAGAACTGTAACTGTAAGTAGGTGGAGTTGGGGAGGCTGTATTGTGTTGCTTTCCTGAGCTTGTTGCTCTTGGCCCAGGGTTGCCGTCATTTTGTGCATGCATGCGAGATGGGTGGGAGCGGGGGGATCGGACAGGTTTCTTTCTAACGCGTAGAGCTCTTGTGAAGGGCGGGTAACTTCAACAGGGGCTGTCTAGATGCATTCACGGAAATCTGCCACCCGGCACGAGGAAAGGCATTTCATTCATGCAACGACTTGTGTTCGGCACAGTTGCTTTCAGCTGAAGAATAGTGACTACAATTAAAGGGTTTTATTTGTGCTCCGAGGCCTGAATTATAACATGGTATAGCAATTCACTAATCCTCATTTTGCTTGGGGGTCTCTTAACCAGTCACCCTTTGCCCACTGCTGTATGTTAGAGCCTGTTGATGTCGAAAACTTGGCTCGCGCGAGATGCTGACCAGCTCTGTGAAGGCATGGAGTCCCCCTGCATGAATGTGCATCGTTGCTTCTCCCTTTTCCTGGGGTCCATGGTCTGGCTGGGTGGGAAGAAGACCTAGCAGGTCTGTTTTGGGGAGTGCGCATGTAACCTCTTGCTTTCTCATCCCGTGTAGCTGAGGAAGTGGATCATCCGTCGGTTGATGCCGGGATGGGGGTAGACGTGCTGGAGTCTGGAGATGCTACACCCCCCACGAAGAGGAAAAGCAAGTTCTCGGGCTTTGGCAAGATCTTTAAGCCTTGGAAGTGGAGGAAAAAGAAAAGCAGCGACAAGTTTAAGGAGACCTCCGAAGGTAAAGTCTCGGGCTCGCTGGGGGTCTTTTCTCCAGCTGGGATGCCTGTCCCAGAGGTGCATCCTTTGCAGCTAGCCAGCTGAACCCTGTCTGCTTTAGGGAGCTACGGCGGCTGGCTGCAGCTTTGCCTCAGTGCTGGCATGTGTGAGGCCAAGCTTCATTCCTTGCTAGAGACGGGGATAAGAAGCTTGCCAATCGGAGGACTAAACCAGAGACTTTAGTACCTGGGTCCTTCAAATCTCCCTGTAACCACCTTTCAACTGATACTAGTCCAGACAGACGACATGAAACCACAAGAAGACTTGGTGAGAGGGGAAAATAAACCCCTTATCAGTGAGATCTGCCATTTTCTATGCCCTCTTTTTGCTTTGATATGTAAATACAGGCCCAGCTAACCTGCTTTTAAATCCCACCTTCCCCTCCTTCTCAACACCCAGTTAAGTGACTTGAGCCACTTGAAGGAGCAAATATTTCTCAGAACGATTCTTCCGCCTCCAGCTTGCCCTGTTTCTGAGTGCTGTTTCTCGATTTAATGTCAGTTTTAGAACGAAAGATTTCTATGCGAAAGCCGAGAGAGGAGCTGGTTAAAAGAGGGGTTCTCTTGGAAGACCCTGAGCAGGGTGAGTTTTCTCTTGCACATGAACTTATCATCCACTTATCTGTGTCCTCCACAGCCGATCTACCTCTGACCAAGTTTGTTCCCTGTATAACCACGTTTAAATGAAATGCAATCAAGGGCTCTTTGCTAATTGTGACCCCTTTGTCTGTCCCTGTTAGCTCAGTCCCTGTGTGGCTCCTGCACCTGGTTAGGAAGGCAGCCTATTCAGCAAGGAAGAAGTTGCTAATAATGTGGATTGTGCGTCTCGCATGTCTTCCTGTCTGCTGTCAGCGGGGGATTCTCTGTGTCATTTCCTCTCCTGTCTTTGCTGTATTTGTGTCTTTGCCCAGCCTTTTGTCTCATCCCCTGCGTCCCTCCCCGTCACATTCATGCTGACAGTTTGGTCCTGTTTCAGATTACAGACTATTTCATACCACGGCTAGGATTTAATGTGGGATTTTATTGCTTTCAAGGCCTGCAAGGTCAAATGAAACGCAATGGACCAAAAAAAAAAAAAATTAGCCTAGCTTTTGGGCAGTCTGGGGAGAGTCAAGGAAACGAGGAGGCAAAGGTTGTTTTGGAGATGTATAAAGGACACACCTATATGACGGTGCTCATTTCCGGGCTGCTTCTTCCCAGACGGATGTAGACAAATGGGAGGAAATCAGCAAAAGGATTAAAGTGAGTGGCGAGGGAGGAATCCGATGGAGTTAAATGAGGCTTAATTACGACTAAAGAAGAGGAGAGGAGATGGGGAGAGGAATTGCTTAGACTGGCACAAAGGCAGATAAAAGGAGGAGTCGTGGGGTGAAGCTAAGGAGAAAAGGGTAGATGCCGTGCATTTCCAGACAGCAGCGGCAGGGATGGAAGAGTTTAAGGTACAACAAGGGTGTTGATAAGGGTGCAGTTTTGTTTCCCGGCTGCGGTGACCTGGCCCAGTTTAGGAAGTAGAGACCATTACGGCTAGCTTGGGCAAAATGCTAGGAAATGTATAATGAAGGGGAAATCCAGCCCGGTTCCAGGGTAGATGAAAGGTTTATAACCTCTTTCATCTCTTGATTTCCATGATTTGTGATAAGCATTGCAAGCCAGGGAACCACTGAGTCTATTTGCGGTTTTAAATCCCGTATTTTATAAGATCAGTTTATTGAAGACGATTTTTGTTTTGTTTTGTTTTTAATTAAAAAAGGCTGTAGTTGTCCTGTAAGGGAGGGGGGGAGGGAAGAACTGCTTTAACCTCTGTGGAAAGCTCGGGGTCCTGATACCGTGGTTCCCCTTGGCCTATATTCTTTGCTCTTGCACGCACAGGAGTGGTCACGCTGGACATTTCGATCTGCCCCTGGATTTCAAAGGCAAGCACTTAGCAGGACGGCAGGGGTGCGATGAGATGGGATTTGGAAACAGGTGGAGCTGACGAGGCGCAGATGTAGGGAAGAGAGAGAGGGGTTTATCGGTAGTGGGGTGGGGTATGGGATGCGGGTACATCCTGGGTGGGCCGTTCCCAGCTCGTGGACTTGGATCCTGACATTGCGATCGAAAGCGGCTGGAGTTGAAGAGCCGGGAGGAGAGGTGGTGCGAGAAGGGAGACGGTGGTATTCACCGCACGACCGGGGCAGGGGGAGGGCCTGGGGCAGAGTTTGAGTAGCTATGGGGGGCAGGTGTATTCCTGTTTTGGACTTGCAGAGTGCTTTATTAGCTATAGGATTTCAGCTGGGGTTGGAGCAGTCGGCTGAATTTCAGCTCTGCCCAGGGAAGGAAACCCCCCATGCTGCCTTCCAGCCTTTTTGGCATGGGTAGTCAATCCCAGTTGCTCCAGGCACACCTCTTTCTTCCCTCTTCAGGAATCCCATTCCTCTCAAGAGGGAGGGAAGTAGATAGAGAGCGAGCCCAGGTGGTGTGTGCTTCCCTGCAGTGCCTCGAGAGGCTAGCAATGTGACTTTGGATGCAGACTCAGGAGATGAGAAATGACTGGGGGCCTGGGGATAAATGCCTCTGGGTGGCTCTGGTATCCAGGTTGTAGCTGTATAAGTCTAGAGGAAAAAGCAATCTGGGCTCATGGGAGTGGTGATCTCTTTTATTAGACCAACAAGATTTTTGCAAAAAAAAGAAAAGATTTTTTTTACAATTTTTTTTGCAAAAATCTTGTTGGTCTAACAAAAGATATCACCTCTCCCATGACCCCAGATTGCTTTTTCTGGGTGGTTCTTGGATTTAGAGACTTAGATTTAAAAATGAGTCTTCAGCTGCCATGAAAGTGAGGCAACATTTGAAGTCTGGTTCACTTACCCAGACAAGATAACATGTGCCTGAATGTTCAGGGCGCCTAAAACTGAATGACTGAGAGTATCTTTGTCTTGAATTGGACCAACTGTGTGTAACTGGGGTTAAGTTAGAGAAGCTTTCAAATGCAAGACGTTCTTCATCGGGCCTTGCATTCAAAAGTGTGTCTGACTTCATCCCGACTTCATAGTGGGTCCAGTAAAAGATCTCACCCTAAGAAATTCTCATCTCTTGAATAATTTCTGGACCATCGTGGCTACATCATTGGTCTTAAACTTCCTTATTCATGTAATATTTTCCAACTCTGATAGCATCTATATCAGGATAAAGAATTGCATAGCTCATCCAGGTCTGTAAAGTGGTAGGATCTTGTTAAGATCTTCTCATTTTAGATAGACCTTTGCTTGCTCCTTGGAGCACTCTGATATGTCTGATGAAGTGAGTGGTGGGCTTCATTTTCCTGAACCCGCTGTGCAAGATGTCAGGCTCTAGAAGATGTGCTAGCAGAAGTAGGCAAGGTTCAAATGGACGGTGCTTTTAGAGACGCGGCCAGTCTGTGGGGGAGAAATCGAAGCCTGAGGAATGGCCTCTACCTCGCTGTTCAGATGTTTTGGGCAAAACATCATTCCTGGCGGCAAACGCTGCTGCAATGCTGTGCACAAACAAATGTGAGACCTCTGAGGGCATTGGCCATGTTCTGCACGTTTGTCTTTGGGACAAATCTGGTGCACCCACCGCAGAAACTTGGTGAGCAATTCGAGTTCGGCCATGTCGTGTAGCGCAGAGACTCATTCAAATATACGGACCCAGAAGGCTGCCGGAGATTGCATTAGCTGTAAGTGCAGCTTCTGCTGGATTGCAGTTCATGGCATAGTGCTGGTCTTTAAGGCCGGGCTAGTTTTGCTTGCTGTGAAGCTGGTCGCACTCCCTCCTGCATCGGTAAGAACACGGGATGGGAGGTGAGGAGGGAATAAACTAGTTGGTGGAATAACTCTTGCATGCTAGGATCGTAGGAGGCTGGCCATATGCTGCTCTTGAGTGTGCTAGCGTGGCTGATGATCTTGCACTGATGTCAATGTGCTATTCCAGAAGTAATGGGGAGTCGGTGGGAATCCTGTTGTCCGTTTGCTCTGCCCGGCCACCTTTGTCAACTCTCAGGTCTCTTGCCATGTCTGACTGGTTTCCATTTGCTCCTTTCTCTTCCAACCCTCTCCCAGATGGTGAGGAGCCCGACAAGCTCGGTCACACGGCACTGAAGAATGGGCACACGGTCCCCATTAGTGGCTCTGGGATGTCTGACCTCGACCACTTGGAAGAAGAGGTTGCAAAGAGGACAACCCTCAAGAAGCCTGTTCCAGCTGAGGAGCCAAAGAAAAGGCCAGGTGAGGAGCTGGATGCTGTAGTGCCCTGCAAAATCCAGCCTAGCTTCGCACTCTCTTCATGCAGTACCAGCGGAGAAGTCTCCTTTCTCAGCCCTGCATGTCCCCGTCTCTAACGCGGTTTTGTCTTCCACTCCACAGGCTCGTCCGGTAGCCAGCCCAGCTCAGAAGTGGAGCTGCCTCAGGAGCCACATGTACCCAAACAGCCTTTGCTTCCTCCAAAAAGACCTTTGTCCTCTTCCCAGGAGGCAAATGATCTGCAGGCGAGGGATGCGGCCCCTGCCAGCAGCACTACAAGAACTGCATCCTCCACTGCTACTGCTGCCACCAGCATAGCAAAGACAGCCCCTACCCCAGCCCCCAGGACTGCGATATCTGCTCTTGCCAACACTAATGCGACTGTTACCGCAAGTGCCAGCAGCGGAGCACCTGCTAAACAGCCCCCCATCCCTCCCCCCAAGCCAGTCAACAGGAATAGCAATCCCTTAATAGGTAAGTGATGACCTTTGTGCATGCTGCTCTCTGGTACACCTAATGGGGCTTGTTACCTCCTGCTTCTAGGCTTGCCATCTCATGGGAAGGGAAGGGAAGGGGGGTTTTTGTTACTGTGCACAAGGTTCAGCCTGTGTCTGATACGCGAGAGCCGGCAGCCTTACAAACTCGACCCCTGGGCAGGCCTGGAAACTAAGGAAGGAAGGAAGGAAGGAAGGAAGGTCTGGTGGTCATTTCATCAGCATCATGGCTGCTTGGAGTGGGGGCAGATTACACCGCAAGCTGAAAAATCTGCCAAGCAGAAGTGTGTCTAGAAGCCAAGTGCCTCGGAAACTTGTTTTGGGTGCTTGTGGTTGGGGGTGGCCGGCAGGGAGAGAGGAACTGATTATCCCTGTTTAAAACAGCAGCTTTTATTAACTTCCTGCTCATCTTCCATGGAGGTCGGAAGAGACCTGGATGACACAGGTTTCTTAATGACACCAGGGGCTTTGCACCAATCTCCGTAATGGGCAGGGAAGGTTTTTTGGGTTTGTGTTTGGTGTCCTAGGGAGCTGGTAGGTCATGGCAGAAAATGTCAGCATCGCAAAACCGCTGTCACAGTTGGTGCAGCAGAGAAGCCCAGGGCAGGGGGCATGAGCCTGTACTGGAAAGGTGGTTGGGATATAGGAAACTTGTTCCCTTTACTCTCCAGGAGATATGGGGAATGTAGTGCTGGCTTCTGGTAAGTGCTGCCAGCTCTGAAATATCAGCTGATTGGTTTTCCTCCAATGTTGGGTCAATAGAGAATTAAATGCGTCTGGCTATACCCTGTTTTAAGGACTTCAGGCTTAAGAGAGTGCTGTATATTATAATTAGTCCGGTAGCGTGTGTTTAATGGCTTAGAGGCCTGCCTTACCCATGACCTAAATCAGATTTAAATGATTTAAGTGGCCTGAGTTAAGTCATTTAAAGAGCAGTTGCCGTCTCACAATCGCGGCCCATCTTTGCCTAATCTTCAGAGTGTGCTAGCAAAGTGCCCCACATCAGGATTGAAGTTCACAGACAGAGCAATGGGATAAGTCCAAGATTGTAATTATGGAAGCTGGGGGCTTTCTGCAGGTCTGGGTTTGAGTCACTGGCGGAGGCATCGGGTTGTGGACAGATCTCCTACAAACTGAAGCTGAGCTTTCATTTCCCCTAACAATGCTTTTTCTCCAGACTGAAAAATAAATACAGAACAGATGTTTGCAGGGTTGTGCCTCAGGCTGCTCCTTGCTGCAGCAGGTTTTGCAGCTGAACTTTGCATGGTATCAGAGGCTGCTATCTGCTAGATAATCCTGTTAGTCTGACCATTGCTGTCGTGCACGCAACAAAATACTTTCTTGCTTATTTAAGCATCTCGTGCACAGCATGGAAGGTGTTTGAAATGGGCTAGTGCTGATTGCAAACAGCACTGAAAAATGTAAGTGAAGATAGCAAGCGGTCCAAGGTCCCTTTACGCACACGTGCGCGCGCGCACACTGGGATTCAGCGGGTGTGGAAGGGAAGCAGAGTGGGAGAGTTTGCACCTGTTTTGCTTGTGTGGTGGAGATGCACATCCAGCACAGATTTCACAATCCTGGCTACAGAGGGGGGGCACGTCTGCACACTCAGCTGCAGGTGTGAACATATGTGCTAATACACTTGTATCTTGAGCTGCTAGTCTGCGCTAAAGCCCATTCTGTTGCATCTCCACTTGTCTTATGCACGCTAGCTGGGTGGGTAGGCTGGCTCGCACTGTATTCACACCTTCAGTTTGCCTTGGAGCATTTCAGCACTCAACAAGCCTCCGGTTCCTGATGCAAGTATTGAAAAATGGGATGGGTGTGGTGTGATTAGGCGTTATGAGAACTGCATTGTTTCAGCTCAGTGATCAGATGGAAGTGACTTGCTTGGATCGCGTAGGAAGGGTTGGAAATATTGAACAGGATAGTAAGGGTGTGACGAGAGCATTGATCTGAACGATGCCAAGGAACGTACCGCCCGAAGATCAAGAAGTGCTGAGATCTATTAGACTGCAGAGGAGTCTCCTGCAGGAACAGGTGAAAGTCCCATTAATTGGGCTATGAAAAATGAGAACAGAAAGCGTCGGAACGGATGGTTCTGGTCCTGCACTGGAAGTCTAATCGGTCTCTGTATCTTGGACTTCGGTGATGCTGGTGTCTAAAAGGTTCTTTGGGTAAATCTGGTATCTTTTATTAGACCAACTTGAAGAGTTGGAAAAGTTCTTCTTTGCAAGCTTTCGGGTACAAAGACCCTTCATCGGGCTGAGGAAGCATTGCACTTAGACCGACACGGCTACAACCTGTACCCACCTAGCAGCACAGGCTTGGGAAGGGCTCTCCTGTATGGAGCTGGCGCTTCGTCTCCAGCAGTTCACGACGTCGGGAGGGCAGTCGGTGCCGGTCTGACTGTTGCAGGGCCCTCAGCAGAGCTTGTGCTCGGTGTGGCATTGACAGAACTCGTTGGCTTTGGAAAGGAAGCAGAGTAAATTAAAAGGATGTTTTAAATTGGGGGTGCTCGGCTCATCTAGACACCGCCCTGCCCTGGTTAAGGGAGGTGCTGGTAACATCCTCTGTAAATCCAGCTGTTAGTGCTCCAGCTTGACTTCTTCAGGCCTGATCCTGTGTGGCTTTTTAATATCTGCTGAAGTCTGTGAGCTGAGGACAAGCAGCACCTTGCAGGGCTCCGGCTTTCATCAGCAAGGGGAAAGTCTAGAAATGCTAAACATCTGAAAAATGCGTCCACCTCTCCGCAGGCCTTTCTAGACGGACGCTCGCTCCTGCTCCTTACTCTTGTCCTACCTGTAGAGGACGTGTTGATACGGGTGGGGAGGGACTGCTGCGATAAACCAAGGGAACTTGAATTGGACCTTTCCGAGCAGATTGGTAACTTCTCCATCGTGAGAACCTGCTCCTTTTATACGTAAGGCTAAAAAACCCAGTGCAGCAAGAGTCCCGTGTCCTTTCAAACGCTGGGCGAAGATGGAGGGACGTACCGTTGTGGGGCTTCACGGTTTGGGGAGTCGCTGCTTGGCGTTCTGTGCTCGCTCTTTGGCTCTCATCCCCTGATCGCTTCAGTCCTTTTGCCGCGTCAAAATGCAGGGGCTTATAGTTGAAGGCATTTCTGCAGAGTAGGCGCTGCACGGTTCATGGGTTCGGTCCGCGCTGCTGGGTTTGTTGCACGAGGCGGCTGTATAACCTCCACGTCAGGAGCGGGCCCCTCGCACGGCACGGGGCAGGGTGGACGCGCTCAGGCTGACCCTCCGAGTGCACGTGGAGAAGTGGGACCTGCCTTTGCCCGGGGGCTTTCGAGTGCTTTCTGATGCTCAAGCAGCCTCCGTGCAAAGGGGGGGGCGGTCTGTGTAAAGCCCCAGTAAACCGTGGGTTTCTCTCCTTTCCCAGCGGAGCTGTCTCAAGCCATGAGCAGCGGTACAGTCCTCTTGAAGCCTTCCCCGCCTTTGCCGCCCAAGAGAGGCCTCCCGCCTCACGCGTCCTCCGAGCCGATGGCTGCACTGAAACCACCCAGCGACAGGATCGCCACTGCCAATCGCCCCGTATCGATCCCAGTGCATGTGGCCCCGTCTCACCCGCCGCCCTCGCCTTCGCCGCCGTTGCCTACTCACATACCTCCTGAGCCTCCCCGCCTGCCCCTGCCCGTGTCCAGCCCCGCAGCCGAGCCCCCGCTCTCCCTGGAAGTGCCCAAGGAGACCTCTCTGCAAGACGATCTCAGGTTACTGGAAGTGTCCAAGAGGACACCGGAGCAAGGGTTCAGGGAACCGTACGTGCCTGTGCGGGTGTCCCAGGTGCCCCTGCACATCCGGATCCAGCAGGCTCTGGCAAGCCCCCTGCCCGCTACCCCACCTGCCGAGGGATCGCACAGGGCTCACTCGCTGCTCTTCGAGAACGACAGCTTTAGCGAAGACAACGGCACCTTGGGCCGGACCAGGTCACTGCCGGTCACCATTGAGATGCTGAAAGTGTGAGTACTGACCTTGTGCGTGCAGATGCGTGGCAGTGCCGTCACCTTTGCAGGCAGGGGGTGGAGAGCCAGGCGTGCGGTAGTCTGCAGCGGGGTGTTCTGGTGCCCTGTTGTCTGCTCCCTGGGGGGGGTGAGCCCTCTCGTTTTGGAAAGAGCCTTGGGACCTTTGTGTTCAGGGAGCATACCTCTGATGGCACTAAAACCAAAAGAAATTGTGGCTCTTGCCCATCCCCGCTCTGTTGCTGATGGCCTGGGGAGGGGAGGACTGCTGGGCGGTAGGTTGGTAGAAGGGTTGGGGGACTCTGGCAGCATGTCTGACCCTGGAAGCCCTGGGGGGGTTGGAGGATAATAGTCCCCTTCTGCACAGGCGCTAGTGGAGAGAAAAGCCATTCAGATCCAACGAGGTAGGGCTGGAGGAGCGATGATAGCATGGAGGCAGACAGCTGCCTGCCTTATCCTGCGTCTTCCAGCTGTCCTGGGCAAGCCAGAAGCATCCAAGGAAGGCTGGTGGGTTCCTGCATGCTCTTGGGTGCCTTTGAAAATCCCACGTTTAATCTCTCTCTGCCTCAGTTTAAGCTTTTAATGACTGAGTGTTTGACAGCAGCTGCATGAGTGGTGCTGTTGAAGAACAAGGGGGTGTGAAGCCTGTTCATAGCTCAGCAAGGCCTTGCAGAATTGTGGGGTAAGATGGGGGCTGGAGGAAAACCTCTGTGCGCTACGGGGAAATCTTTTTAAACTGTGGGCCTGTTTAGTTTTAGTTGCCATTGTCAGGGATTGGCATATTCTCCGGCTCCAGAAAACTGTGCTTATATGAAATACTTAAGAGAAATAACATGTGTTTTGTTAGTCCAGACGAGGAAGAGGACCCGGATGAACGGCGTCCAGCTCCTTGCGTGTACATTGGAGAGGTGCCGTCGGTCACGATCATTCCTAAGCTTGTGCCACAGCCCCTGCAGGAGGAAGAGGAGATGGAGGAGGGCATGAGCGATTCAGACTCGGAAGGACCCATCCTGTATAAGGACGAGGAGGAGGACGAAGAGGAAGATGAGAGCCTCAAGAGTAAGGTTTTTTGCTTGGCAGCCACTTCTCTCCTCGTGCACACTCGTGCGCACGCACGACTGCACTTGGCCGTGTCGCGGGCCAGTGACAGAGCTAGTCGGTACAGCCTCCCGAGGTGTCATCCTCTGGCTTTGGGACAAGTTGTGCATCCACCTCCTTCCCTTTCTTACCCACTCAAATGCAGTGCTGAGCAACTGAGCCACCTCCCTAAGGGGAAACACTTGGTCTCCAGCAGCAAATGGCCCAAATGATCGACTGCACGTGTCTAGTGCCAGCTCCAGAGAGATGACACCAGGCTAACGGGCATCAGAGTTCAATCCTATATAGGTTGCACAGTGTAAGTGGGGTGTATGGTCCCCACACCCCCAGTGAGCATCTGACCCTACCTGCTTGGCTGTGAAATAGCCCCCTGGTACTTGCAGAGCCGTGAGCTGGGCTCTGGATCTTGCTGCTCATTCCCAGCTTGGATGCACAGCGATTTCTACTTGAGTAAGGTCCCTTCTCTCCTCTCCCAAAGGCACGCTAGCCAGCAAGGTGAAGAGGAAAGACACACTGGCCATGAAGCTGGGGATCATGGCTACCCAGCAGGAGCAGGAGGCAAAAAACAGCTTCCCACGTAAGAGCAAGGAGGAATGGAATGAAATTCGGCACCAGATTGGAACAACGCTGATCAGGTATGGCGGCCGCGGGCTGGCGTTTCTTGTGAGTCTTTGGCATAACCAGTAGTGAAATGAGAAGCATGCGTCTGATCTGATCAGACCATGCTGGATTAAAGCAGCCAGGTGGTAGGGAGAGGAAGCTTTTTTATTTCTCTTCTGGATTTGGGATCCTAGGGGCCCATGTCTCTTCCCCCCCCCCCCCCCCCCCCC